TCATACCAAAGGCCATCATCTTAAATATTTTCCTTCTTCCAAAGTTTATTTGAAAGAGGCACTCTGAGAAAAGCTAATTTCCTTAAAATATCAAAGAACTGAAAACCAGAAGATAGATGTTCCTGAAGACAGCCTGCAAAGTATATAAATAAAATTCTGCAAAGTGTATAAATAAATATTACAGAGAATTCACTTCTGCTACAGTTGTCCACCACCCTCAATATAACATCTAGCTGACTTGATTTTCTGTGGATCAAATTTATTCAAAGTTAAATTTCTCTTAATAGGTCATCTGAGTAAACAATTTCAAGCATTATTTGCCAAAAAAAAAAAAAGTTTCCAGGCTTCAAATAAAATTGGCAGTGTCAGGCTAAGAAAACAACCTTAAAAATTCACAGAGAGCTGGAACAGTTGCAAAAATAAAAAAATAAAAATAAAAAATTGGAGCCCGGAGGTCAGTCTTGTTCTTGCAGTTCTGGAGGTTAAAAAAATCACAAATTTCCACCACCATAACTAGATATTTGGGGGGGCAGAGGAAGAATGGGTTTCTTTTTAAATATAAAATGCATAAAGCAATATATCCTTAAATGAAATGGCACCTGTCATAGGAAGGAAGTTCCATTTCAGTGATTGCTACATTAGTCACAGATAATAGCACTGACATTTTATAATGGGCACCCCGCACCCCTTGGCCCCAACTAGGTGCTCTGTGCTCCTGATTTTCAGAGACAGGGAGAAGGGGAGGGAAGAAGACAGAGGGTAGAGGGAGAAGGGTTGAGGTATGGCATGGAATTTTGCAAACATAAAGCGGTTATTAAGGAAAGTGGGAGTATGTCTTTGAGTGGAAGCTTTTGTGATTTTCTATTCTTGAACTTGGAATTATTGGGTTTGTGCAACGGAAGGGATAAACATAGCTGATGACCTAGTTCATGGGTGGGAAATGGGCCTCTGAGAGAAAAACCACATCCCCAACCGGGACTTTCATCTCCAGTCCCTAAATCTACAGCCGCACTCCAATGACATCTGAAGCCAAGGATTCTGGCAGCAAAGCCTAAAAAGCCCTGTGACATCACAAGTGCAAACTAGGTATGCTTTATGACAAGTGCCAGATCAACTCTTGCCTGTGACCTTGCCACCACTCACAGGACACATATTGCACCCCAAATGCCCAAGTCCCTATGTAAACAATCACTCCTCCAAGCCCAGAGAAAACCCTGATTTGCTGTCACTGTTAAGATCCCCACCGCCACTGATCTCATCACAAATAGGAAAGGAAGGAGTCCATGATCCACTAGCTCCCTAGTGCCCACATTTTGGACTTTTGAGAGCAGACACCACCACATTCAACCAGTACAAGTAACATTCATTGCATATAAGACCTCTTAAGGAAAACCGAGAAACCTTCTGGAATGAACCTGCCCTTGGCTCACTCTAGCTCAGTCCTCTCACCCAACAACAAGTTAAAGGTAGAGAAGATGAATATTGTTAATGTAGTATTTCTAAATCAAGATCTTATGAGTGCTCTGGCTCTCAACTTTTTTTCTTAAAATATCTGTTCAATCAGGACTGGGAAGCAGCTGTCAACAGCCTCCTGGTAAGAGCATAGAGATAACAGGGTCAAGTGTGTCCATGGCAAAGTTTTGATCCCATCGTGTCAGTAACTGATGATTTGGCAGAGGTGGTGGTGCTCACCACCATGCCTGAGGTTGTCAGAGCTTACCTGTGTGAGAAGACATTACTTGAGCCTCTCTGTCCAGCTGACTGGCTGTTCAGACCTGTGTCACTTGCAAACCTCACCTGTTAACAGAACCAGATGGGCCATATCTGCCCGTTCTTGTGGGGAGGCTGGAAAATGTTGCTCTAGAAATTTTGGGGACTGTGTCCCACCTGTACCTGGGACATGGGTGCCCCCAGCAGAGAGTGGGGAGTTCATGAGTACACTCTTACCACAGAGTTATCAAATCCGAGGCACTAAGCTGTATGTGCCTTATTACTTCATTACCAATTCACACAACAGTCGTGAAAGGTCAGAATGATGATCTTAGCTTTGCAGAGAAGCACACAGAGGCTTAGAGAACACGAGTGTTTTGCCAAAGTCCACAGCTTCTAAGCTGAGATTCAAACCCAGGTGAGTATACGTGATTCTAAGACCCAGGTTAGAGATAAGGTTCTCGGATTTACATATCCAGTCCACACCCTTGAGATGTTTGCAGCTGGGCTGGAAAGACAGGTGATATGTCCAAAGACAACTGAAGGTTCTCCAGCTGCCTGTCCAACAGACCTTTCTGAGATGACGGAAATTCTATGATTTGTGCTATCCAGTTATGGTAACCACTAGTCCCAGGCAATTATTGAGTATTAAACATGTACCTGGTACAACTGAGAATCTGAAATTTTAATTTTACTTGCTTTGAATTAATTTGAATTTAAATCACCCCTGAATGTCCATATTGGACTGTACAGCTGGAGACATTTTATACCAACAACATTCAGAAAACAGAATGGTCACTGCAGTCTGGGGTGACACAAGCTAGCTTTATGAAGAGCACAGAAACCGAGCTAGCCCTTGACGTGTTAGGATTTGAACAGGACTCTTTTTGTTTCAAGAATGATCATCTTCCCTACAGAATTTGCTTTGGAGTCAGGGGTCCCAGAAACCAAGCCCAATCCTTTTAGTCTACAGATGAAGAAATCAAGAATGTCCCTCTGGTTCCATATCCTTTGGACCTGCTCTGCATGGCATGACTGAGCTCTCTTCTGCCTCTTGCCATTTTCCTCCTGAAGGCTGTCTTCTCCTCCCTGTCCCTATGCCCTCCCAGCCAACGCCAGCAGGTCCTGGATTTTTTCTCTTTTTATCAACCTGGACATTATTTTTCTACCTGTGTGTCATTTCCTAATAGCTTTTAATGCACTTTATGTTTCTAGACTTATCACTCTGAGAAAATAATTTCCTAGTACCGTGAGAGATGCCACTCACAGGTACACTGCCCACCTTCTCCCCCAAACACAGTCCCAGCCACATGTGGCCGAATACAATGCTCGGGGCCAGTCAATTTGTAGTGTCTGATTTCATTCTTGTCCATGTAAAACGTGACCACTGGGCTCTCTAAAGCTGTGTTTCCTGTCTTCTAACATCTTGATCATGATCAGCCTCTGGGTCAGAGAAAGATGCTGAAAACGACTGGACTCCAAGACCAGATCAGGACTGTCCCTGCCAGGTACTTTCAGGATAGTCCTTAGGAAATCTCCATTCTTAGAGGACACAGAGCTCAGCCTGTCTGCAGGGACACTCAAGCCCTTCACGCCTGTTTTCACTTCTATCTCATGTAGTTGCCTGGGTGTCCCAATCATCTTCAAGAATGTTTCATGTGAGCATGTAATAAAAGCCACAGTGACCCTTGAATCCTCCAGCTTGAGGACTATAGACTAGGAAGGGTGGAAATGACCTATTTTTAATTCTTTCTAGCTTTGCCTGGAAGCTGGTTGTTAAGATTTTCAGTATCAAAATCATGAATTTCGCTGCAACCTGGATGGAACTAGAGTCTATAATACTGAGTGACCTCTCACAAAAACAAAAATCCGAATATCACATGTTCTCACTCATATAATGGACCTTGAACATCCAATGCAATACTATGAGAAAATGACGGATGGTCCTGGGAAACTATGGGGGGGAGGGGGATGGGATTAACAGTAGCAAATATCTGTCGGGGGATGGGAAAACACTTCTTATCTACAGGGTGCCTGAATGAAACGTCATTGTACACCTAACCCTTAACTGTACCCCACAAAACCATAATAAAAAATACTGATTAATGAAAAAAATAAAAAATAAAAAATAAAAAAATAAAAATGGGAGAAAAGACAAAAAAAAAAAAAAAAAAGATTTTCAGTATCGTGGGGACGGGCACTTTTGCCCATCTTCCCAACAGAGAGTAGACACAAGACACCCTGAAACACTTTCTGTACCCAAATGCCTATGGTTCTTTGGGCTGTAGTGAAGACTGCTTATGTCCTTCCATGATGTCACTGAAAATGAGACAAGCCTTTGGATGTGGGATCAACAGGTCATTAAGTTCCTGGGTCCCTGAAAGGGGCACACATGAGGCCCAAGTCCCCATCAGGCAAGGAAAGATGGCCCCCGAGAGCTGTGAAATCCAAGTCAAGGCAGCAAAACATGGCAATACACCTGATCCATCCCACAGCCTGTTTCTGTATGGTCTGTGAGCTAAAAATGATTTTTAAATTTATAAAGCACTGTCTATTCATTTCTTTAAAGAATATACTATAGACACTGTGCATGGCCTACAAAGCCTAAAACAGTTACTGTCTGGCCTTTTCCAGAACAAGTTTGCCAACCCCTGGTCTCAACCATCAGGGACCTCAGTCCTGTCCCTGGGGCTTGGTGAGCTGGGTCCTGGGAATTCCTAGTTCCTTTTCATCCCCTCTGGATTTGTTTACTTTTTTTAGTTCAGTAAAGTTAGAGGTAAAATGTTCCATATCTCTTTCTGAGGAAAGGTGCAATAGATATCAAGTATAACAACTGATAAATGAAGAGTAACCTCTTCCAAGAAGATCACCTTCAGGTTGGTGAGGATCTGGCCCAATCCCTGTGTCCTTACTCTGATAGAAACAAGGCTCCTGATAAAAACCAGCCAGAGAGGATCCCAGGGATGAAAGCAAAGATTCCACAGAATACTCTCACACATTCTGCTCCTGCCTCCATTTCTCACTTGCCAGCACCAGCCTTCACATTGACCCTAGCACAGAGTCCATTGGGGCATCGATGTCATTGACTTACCTGGTGCCCAGCTCCACCAGGAAAAGAACACAGAGGTAGAACCACACCTTAATAGTCCTTAGGATCTCAACTCTGCATTTCTTACATTCCTGCCCTAAATGTACATTAGAACTCAAAGAAAAAACACAGCATCCAGCTCTTCCTCAGCCATAGTCAGAGAAATTGACAGCCACAGCCCACGTGCAGTCGTCCCTGTTACCTGGTTCAGTGCAGTTCTTGCTGCTTCGGAGTCCTGCGTCTTCGGAAGTCAAAGTGTCATTCACCTGCAACAGTTTCCTCCCCACCAACCACTTCCTGTCTTCCCCTATGAGGTCCATGAGGTCAAGCTCTGAAAAGAAAAAAACAATAGCCACACATCACTCACAGCTGGGTTTCAGTCTTTACCGATGGCAGGTGCCCAGTGACATGCTCAGCCATCACTGGCTCAGCCCTGTCAGCCCAACCCCCTTGGATCATCCTGCCTCTGGCTGCCCGAGGGTCCTCAGGATGCTGGATCCTACTGGGCCCAGCAGAGACAGACCTCTACCAGTGACTGGTGGGAAATGGTGTCTAGATACCTCACCACATGAGTGGGATAACTTTGAGGTATGGATTCTAAACTGGATTCCAGCATTTTCCTCCATGGGATTAACCTTCAGTTGTCTATAGTGTACTCTCTTGACAAAGCTCACTTTATTCGCTGTTCCTTCTCTGGCTCAAGTCTGCTCCCAAGAACATGCAGAAAAATGTTTAACAATCAGCTCTCTGAGGGGTGGGGGGAAGCACTGATTTGTAGCCACTGGCCAGTTTCTGTGGTATCAAAACTCCCATCATGGCCACTTTCTTTTTTTTGTTTTTTTGAGTTGGAGTCTCACTCTGTCACCCAGACTGAGTGCAGTGGCTGCTCCTGGCCACCACAGCCTCAACTGCTGGGCTCTGGTGATCCTTCCGTCTCAACCTTCCAAGTAGTTGGAACTACAGGTGCGCGCTACCATGCCTGACTGATTTTTGATTTATTGTAGAGATGAGGTCTCACCAAGTTGCCCAGGTGGATCTCGAACCCATGGGCTCAGGCAATTCACTCACTTCAGCCTTCCAAGTCACGGAATTACAGGCTGAGACACCGAGCCCGGCTCATGGCCACTTTCAAGCTCCCAACATGACATCATTGAAAATGGAGTTGGACACTATAATCTCCACTGAGTCAGTATGAGCTAGCTCCAGTCCACCAACATCTAGCCCCTGCCAATATCTCCTGGAACCATCTCCCAAATAAATCACCCACCAGTGAACATGTACTCAGGATCTGCTTCTGGGGGCTACCAAGCAAAGACACCATCCCCAAAATGTAGGCCACTGAGTACCACATGACAAGTTTTGATGAACAAGAGACAAAGGCATGAACTAGGACAAAGTAGACCACAAGATGCCCATGGGGATGAGCATGTGTCAGTGCCCAGGGCTCTGGCTGGGATGACTGGAGGAATAGAGGTGCCAGGAGGGAGGGAAAGAGCTGGATGGGGGAGCACAATACGTTCTATTTCGGGCACGTTGAGCTGGAGGTGTCTGTGGAACATGGAAAGAGAAGAATAGCAGAGAGCCTCAGGGGAGTCATCATCAACAGGAAATGGTGAGGTATATGGATGGATGGATCTCCCAGGGGAAAGGAGGGGCACTGAAGAGAAGAAATAGAGGAACCCAACATCATTCAGAGAGCAAATAGAGCAAAATAATTCAACAAAAGGTCATGAAAGGAAGTGAAGGAGCAGGGGACGCTGTAGTGAAAGGTAAGCAGAAAGAATTTCACAAACAGAAGAGTAGCCTACAGCAATGAGTTGGATTTTCCTTTGATTTGTACAAATCAAGTAAGAGAAAGGTAGATAAATGTCAAGTGAGGTTGATGCCAGGGGGTCACAGGAAGATGGAGAGAGAAGACCAAGGTGGCTCTTTCCAAGGTCTTGGCACTAAAGAAAGAAGTAACGTGGGGTGATGCTACCTCTTGAGTGTCCTTTCTGCTGTGGGCAGAAAGTGAATCTAAACATAAGACATGGCCTCCCCCGTGGTACCAGTGGCCTTCACAGAAGGCACATGGTGCCCCCAACCACACCAACCACATGTCTGAAGAGGTCACTAAAGGGCCGATGATGTCATACCCACGCCTCTATTTCCATGGTGATTCCATGGGTAGGAGTTTAGTAAGTCCGAGTTGACATAATTATTCCCACTTTATAGGTGGACAAAGTGAGACTCATGGAAGCTTCAAACCACACTTGTGGGCACCTGACCTAAGCCAACAGGACACACGTAATATCAGCAGCTCATGCATTGAAGTCTTCCTCAGTCAAACGTAGCCCCTGCTTCCAGATGTAAATTTATCAAGATAGCCAATTAAAACTTATGTACATAGGCCAGGAGAACTCCACCCCCCCAACCACCCCAGGTTTTTCTCAAAAAAAAACAAAAGAAAAAGAGGGAGAGTGTGGATCATAACTCAACTAAATCATAATTTTAGACTCTAAAATATAAAATCTGATATGGTAGCCACAAGTGTCAATTTAGCCAAAATTATGAGGATGATACCAAAGGTAATTCAAGGCTAGAGTAAGGCATTTGTGCAGTTTGGTCAACTCAAATAGTTGAGTCTTGTGATTAAGAATAACAACAAATACAGGAAAAAATTTTCAAAAACTCAACACCAACACACAGTATAGAAATGTGGATTTAACACCATATTGTCATAAGTGCTCTACATGTGTAGAGAAAGGCTTCCCTTTGTCTCAGGATGGGTTTCCCCAGAAGCAGCCCCAAGAGGAAGATCTGTGCGCAGTGGTATACATGGAGGTAATCCCAGGATGAACTGGGGCAGGGAGAACAGGAAAGGAGGACAGAGGGGCAGGAACTGACTAATAGAGGGTCCATTTCAAGGCAGTTGCCAAAATAAGTAGCTAGAATTTGACCCCTCAGAAAGCTCTATTGGCATGCATCTCAGACACCTAAGGGTGAGGGGGTGTGGGTGCTCACCCACCTAGTCCTGATCTGACAATGGTTAAGAACTATTGAACGAGGACATTGATCCCCCACCATGTCCAGTCTGCCACATGGGTGTCAAGGTGATGCCCCGAAAAAGACCTTGGACAATGAGACACAGGTGCTGGAAGTGGGGTCATGTCAGCCGACACAGAAGCAATAAGGGCAAAGTGATATGGTCAGGGCCCTGTGACATTTGTACCTATCTGATATCTGAAGAGAGAGTCGCACTGTGACCAGCCATGTGGCCATTCTACTGTCCTTACAACCTGGGGTAAAGAAGAACACTTTGTGGGACTGCAGTCCTAACATTCGGCAAGACCCCAAAGATTTGTGAGGAAAGGAGGGTATTCCTTCCAGCGACTTCCACAGTGCTTTAGCATGCCAAGTTTCCATGGTTCTGTAATTCTGAGAGGAAAGCTGATACCAATTAAGAGATGTAAAAATAAAGCCAGCTATTGTAGCAGAAAATTAGAGGATTTTTTTTAACATAATGATTCAATATCTTCAGGAATTAGAGACTATTAAAGCAGCACCGCTGGATTCCAAAATCTACAACTTTTATCTCAACAAAAATATATTTGAACACTGACCACTGATAGAATAACGCAGAGTGCAAGTCTGAGAAAATAAGAACAGTGAAGCAATGCCCTGAATTCGTTTCCTTCCCAACAAGAACCATGTTTGACAAGGCAATACCCCAGTCCATCTGTCTTCACAAAATTCATTGTATGGTAAGAAGAAGCAGTTGATCCTGGGGTCAACTTATCTTTGGAGTAAATGAGTCAGCGTAGAAGTGATTTGCCTCAGGTCAGAACTAATGCATGGCCACATCCACTACCATTTAATAGTTAGCACCACCTCTATTCACTGAGTGTCTACTATGTGCAGAAAACTTTCCATCCTTCACCAAGTTCCATTTTCATGAATGATGGCCCTACATGGAAATATTAGCTCCATTTTTCAAATAAACAGATGCACAGAGAGCTTAAATAACTTGTCCAAGGCCCATTAGCAAGCAAGTGGCAGAATGAGGATTTGAACCCAGGTCTAGCAACCTCAAAGGGCAAGTTTTTGGTAGATTGCTGGATAGAATGAAATCTAATTCTGGCTGCATAATCCAGTCATGGTAAAAACAGCTCGATAATATAGCCTGTATCTTACAACAGGTTAGGGGGTGAAGGCTGCCTCATTGGACTTATTTCAAAGACAGTTGCTTCCCCAGAAACTACAATCCTGCACCAGATTACAATATTTTGAGCAATGGACCATATATACATATATACAAATGCAGTCCCATTAGATTTTAATACATTATTTTACTACTCTCTGTGTTTAGATGTGTTAAGACACACAAATCCTTACCATGTGTTCCAATCGCCTACTGTGTTCAGTACAGTCACATGCTGTCCAGGTTGGCAGCCTAGGGAGAGTAGGCTACACCATACAGCCTAGGTATGTAGTGGGCTGTACCATCTAGGCTCACGTAAGTCATGCTACGAAGTTGGCACAATGACAAAATCACCTAAAGACCCATTTCTCAGAACACATCCCCACACACCATCATTAAAAAACATGACTGCATAAAGAACAGCATGAGACATGAGCATCATCTCACAAAACAAATAGTAGGATGGGTCTAAGGCTCCACTCTGCACATGGCGTTCTGCTCAGTGTGATTTCCTGAGACTAGGTTGCTCCCGCTGACCATGACATGAAGGGCTATATTCTTGCCCTTAGGGAAGAGGAGTGAGGGTGGACTGAAGGGTGAGGAAGAGGGCGAGGAAGGCAAGGGGTACATGGAACCATGGAGAGGTGCCCAGGCTGGCTGTTTTCCCTGTTCTCCCCTCACTCACCTCCCCGGCTTTCTTGGACTTCTCGGCTACGACAAAGAGGCCGCTCTGCAAAGCTACACTAGAGCAGTGTCAACAAAAACACTTGGCCCTTGTCCATTTCATTCTTGGCTCCTCATCTGCCAGGCCCTGGAAGTTGCATGTTGGCCTAATTACTCAGGGGAGGGGCAGGGGGCAAAGGGAGGAGAAGCAGGCTCGTATGTCACATGTCACTGGCAGAGACAGCCTATAGGACAGCAGCTTCCCAGAAGTGGGGACAGGAGTGGGCCACAGAGATAGCACAGGATTCCTGCTGGAAGGGAAGGAAGCCCAGTCCTCAACCCGAGACGCAAGCTGCAAGTACTAAGGAAGGACAGAAAGTGAGGCTGGACGCCAAGTTTCCATTACAGAGCTGTGTGCTCACCCTCTCAGGCTCTAGTGCTCACTCTTGCTGTCTGTCTCTCTCTCTTTCCACCTCCCCTTCTCTTCC